AAATAAATAGTATTTCAAATCTCTCAGACCTTGGACAGATAATATTTTTAAATAGATGTTATATATCTTTTTTACATAACATTTTAATCTTTAAATTAATGCGCGCGACACACACACACACACACACACACATATATATATATATATATATATATTATCATTCCCTACTTCATTTCCAACACTAATATCATTTATATTATTTTCTCCTCCTCCTCCTTCAAGAAGGCGTTAAGAGATCCTCATGTCCCAATCCTAGACACTACGTTTCTTGATTTAATTACTTCCATTTCGTTTTACAGTTTACAAATGTGGGTTGGCTTCCGAACTTCCACTTAACAGGGTGTGTACATTGATAAAAAAAAGGGAAGAATAGGAGTAAAGAAGAACATTAGGGAGTGTTGGTTCCGTAAAGGTCTACAAGAAGAGAAACAGTTTGTAGAAGGGGGGGAGATGAATACAAACACAGTATTTTCAAATTTAAAATATAGATTGATAGAGAAGATCAATACAAATTTTACAAGATAGTTTGCGGAAAGATAAGGTAATAAAAACCTATCTAAACAATCTTTGGTTACACACAAAATCTTAACAAATACAAGAAATGTAATTGCTGTAAAAAAGATCTTTTACTTAAGCTAGAAAATGCTTGAAGTAAGAATTAGAGTTAGAGAAAGTTGCGCGCACTCTGCATGGAGAAGAAACACTTCTATTTATACCAAGTACATTAAATGTTCATTTAATGCAATAAGGTAGGGTTAGAGTGCGTGTCAAGCCTTAAGAGGAAGACTTGTCTTTTGCTACAGTGAATAGTACAAAAAGCACTATTCATGAGCAGACATCCTTACCTAAAGTTGGTGGACAAAGAGTCGACTAATCGGCTCCGTATCGTACTAACTTTCGTAGGGTATGGGTTTTGTCCTTTGTATGCATAAAAACAAGACAACAACAATCGTGCTAAGCAAACTTTCTTTGATCGCTGAATGCTGGAATGACCTGAAGGTCTCATCATCATTCGCTGAAGCTTGAGCAATATTCACACATATGTAGACAGACTTGTAATCACTGAATACCGCTTCAGATCACGTACTCGTCAGTCTCTAATCTTCAGTTTCAGTCTTCGACGTTTGCTGAAGGTTCTTTGGTGTGAGTGTACAATGCAAGTTCTTCAGCGATCACTGAACATACTCAGTGAAGATCGCTAGAACTGAAAATACAAAAACATAAATACAACGCACAAGTGAAAAGAGATTATCATCAAATCACTGAGAGAGAAGATCAACAGGGAGTAAGAAAGAAAAACAGGTAAAACCACTCATCATCTTTTTATGTTTTTGAATACACACACAAAACCAAATGTCAACAATTAACGTAAATAAAAAAACAAAAGGGAAAAACAACAAAAAAATATATAACGTAAATGTAATTTCTATATAAAAAATAAAAATATAAAAGAAAAAAACTTAACGTAAGTGTAAAATATTTTATTTATTATTAATATTTATATTAATTGAAATAATATGATTAAATATTATAAAATACATAATAAAATATAACAGATTTCAAAGGTTATGTTTTTTTTTTGTTCTTTTTTGGGCTTCTTCTTAGAAGATCAAGGCAGCTTCTGCTTTTAGGTCAACT